AATAACAATGTATTTTTCTATACAGCCGAGTCTGTTCCCTTGATCAGTGAGCACAAAGGGATGTGTGGGCTGGTGGGGGGAGGGGGAGGGTGTGGGTCAATAGGAGAGTGAGGGAAGATGTGGGGGTGTGGGGGTGAGGGGAGGGGGTCAATAGGAGGGTGAGGGAGTATGTGGGGGTGAGGGAGGGAGGGTGTAGGGGTGAGGGAGGGAGGGTGCGGGTCAGTAGGAGGGTGAGGGAGGGAGGGTCTATTTTTGGGGTAAAGGAGAGAAGTGTGTGTGTGTGTGAGGTTGTATTTGTATTATAATCATACGCAAGATCCCGTTTCATGTGTGTGTATGTATGTTCAGATTCGTTCCTTGATATTCCTCTTCATCAGCACGAAGAAAAATAAACCGTAATTTACCTCATGTTTTTTTTAATATATTTTTTTTTACAAACATAATTTATCAGTTTATTTGTAGCGCAGTAATTAATTCTTTGAAATGAACCTTTGTTAAGAATTATAAAATATAAGGTTTATGCAATTCAATTCTATCTTCTAATTACTTTTTATTACACACTTCATAATCTACTTCATTTCTGTACTAAATATTTTAATTTATATTATTGGAAAAAAATTATACGTATTGGTTATGTTATTATATTATTCATAACTAATTCTTATTTCATATATCTATTTACATTAATTAATTTAGTTTTCATACGATAAATTATATAAATATTAATATATATGATTTATATAAGAAATAACACCCTCATGACTTTCATATAATATTTCAGTTTTCATTACACCTTCATTAATTTAGGTACTTTACACCTTACAGCCGCACTGGAAAACCTAACAGACGCTCGTTCAATAGTGTGCCTTGTGTCTCTCTCGTAATATGGATGACTAACAACACACCCAGGCTTCTAAACTCCTCCTGCTGATTATTTCATGTTATTTTTTTATTAACATAAGTGCATTTTCTAATATGGTGTTAATTTCCTTAGTTTTGTTTTCGTAGCTGACAATTTGCTTTTTTGTTGTTTATGTAGCTGACAATTTTCTTCTTATTTGTTTACATAGAAGGCAATTTTCTTCTTCATTGTTTACTAGCTAAAAATATTTTCTTCTTCTCGTGTTTGTCGGTGAATGAAAAATTATGGTAAGTGATGTTATCTTTACTATGTTGTTAAATTTCCACTCCATTACTTCCCTCTCTCTCTCCCTTCCCTTCTCCACTACCCCTTTCCATCTCACCCTATCCTTCTTCCCACTTCCCCCCTCCTCCATTTTTTCCCCCTCTTACCCCCCCCCCCCAATATAGATACATTTCTTCTCTTATTTTTTTCCGTGTCAAGTGTTGGTGTCTAAAATACATCGTGTTTTTTTTTACGTACCTTCCGGGTTCAGTATTTTTTTTCAGCATTTATTTGTGTTTGTTTGTCTGTTATGGTCTTTGTAAATTCAATTGTTTGTGGTGTTTGTTTTTGTTGGATTCATTGTTTGTTTGTTTGACTAAATCTCTTGGCCAGTTTAGATTTGGTGGGTATTTGTGATCACCTGTGTGTGTGTGTGTGTGTGTGTGTTTAAATAAATCACTAACACTCCTCATTCACTAGGACCTCATAGCGACCAGTGAAGTCAAAACGGTCAGAGGTCACATCAATCAGAGAGGTCACTGGGGTCACATAAGTCATAGGAGGTCACAGGGGTCAAAGGTCACCACAGCCGAAACCAAACTGGCCGAGGATTCCAACAACACAACTAGCTTCAATGTCAACAGACCCACGTCACCTTCCCCGTGTTATTCTGTCTCGTTCTTCGTCTCATTCTTAGTCGTCTTATTATCGTTCAATTTCAATTCTAACAATTTGTTCCATATATATCGTTTCAGTTAATTGTACAGTCAGTGAGTCACAGTCAGTCATGAAGTCCTGTCACCTCTACTGCTGCTCAACGAATCCCGAAATTCAGACTCGTGAATCCGAAGCATTTATGGACAGAGTAATACATCCATGTCTACTGCTTCGGGTTCACGAGTCTGGGTTGCGGGGTTCATGGTTCAGCAGAAGAGGCGACAGGGATTTATGACTATTTCTGTACATCTATAACTTCATTATCTATATACACGCTGGACCAATGCAATGTTCTATAGTGGTTTTACTGAATTAATAACTATCTGTCTATCTATGCAATTACGTTCGTTCATGTTATTGATTCCTTTCTGTGTTATTATTGTGGCATTCATTTCAGGTGTGTTCTCATTTTGCTTTATATATATATTGCATGGTGTGTATTGATACGTATATTTTAAGATATATGTGAATGTTTATTTTTGTATTACTAATATTCTTCAGTTACATCCAAAAGTATATTTTGTGAGTTTGTTTTATCATGTAGTTGCCATATATGATTTTATATGTATTATTTATATAAGTTTTATCATACTTTCATACGTTTTGTTGTTATAATCTTTAGGGTAAAATTTTCAATTAAAATCGTGCGTAGTGATAAAGGTTTTGTAAATATTAGAGAAAGGTCACAGGTAATGTATCAGCCAATCACTTAACTGAGAGATCCCATGGCCCCGCCCACTAAGTCAGCAGCCAATCAATTCTCTTGAAATCGAACACACCTCCGTACTCCGCCACACAGAGTTAAGCTAACCACAACAAACTCGAGTTGAAATGTCAAGTGAGAATTCGACGTTTCTAATTCTGAAAACATTAAATTTTTCAAAGAGTAGACGTAACTGTGGTCATGAAAACAGTGCGTTAATGTTCGAAATAAGGCAAACAGAGTATTAGGTTTTATATCTAGAAGTGTAAGTAATAAGAGTGCAGAGGTCATATTGCAACTATATCTTGCGCTAGTTAGGCCGCACCTCGATTATGCTGTTCAGTTCTGGTGCCCTTTTATAGAATCGATATCAATTCACTGCAGTCGGTGCAGTAAAGAGTGACGAAAATGATTCCGGGACTTAGAAACCTTCCATATCAAGATAGATTAAAGAAACTAAACTTGCATATCCCTAGAAAGACGAAGAGTGCGGGGAGATATCATGGAAGTATTTAAGTGGGTGAAAGGAATCAATAAAGGGGATATAGATATAAAGTTCTTATAATATCCGAGCAGGATAGGACTCGGAGCAACGGATTCAAGTTGGATAAGTTTAGGTTTAGGAGGGAGATAGGAAGGAACTGGTTCACAAATAGGGTGGTGGACGAGTGGAACAAGCTTAGCAACTTTGTAGTAAGTGCGGGAACTCTGGAAAGTTTTAAAAGGAGGCTAGATAGATTCATGGATGATAGAGAGTGGTAGTAACTCTCGACAGGAGCTACCATGCACAGGCCAACCGGCCTATTGCAGACTCCTTATTTTCTTATGTTATGTTCTTATGAAACCGGTAGCTTGGCCCACCACTGACGAAGAAAAGTTTGCTTACACAGAAATGCAACGACCACACCTAAACGAACCCAGTTAAATTTACGCCACTTCATCTATACAGTTAACTTATATTGTATGTTAGCAATTAAAATTTACGCCACTTCATATAATATACGCAGCTGACATAATGCTACTCTGTATACTATAAAGAGTTTACATAACATCATATAGTCGTATAAACTTTACCTTAGTCAGTAGGCCAAGCTTGGGTACCGTTGACGTATAAGAACACAGTTAATCGACCACCTGGACGACCTCACACACCACAGTCTACAGAACACTTAAACGATCTAACTAACCTCCCACCTTATGTACCAGTTGCCGTCAAAATCTCGACCAATGAGAGCGCTTCAGGAAGGTTTAACTGCCATAAGTGCTTGTTAGGGATTTGTTTATTCCCCAGGTGTTCGTAAGTGGAGGTGTGAGAGTGTATCTGATGTTTTTAAATTACTATAGGGATGAGAAGACGTACGTGGATAGAGACCTACACTTGATATTCTAACGGCACTAAAATCGTTCTTTAGGGATCCAGTTATTAGAAGGAAAACGTTTATTGTGTGGTGTTAACGTTTAATTCTTTTGTTTACGTTTTGGTAGTGTTCATGAAACCTTTAATGTGAATAATATTGTTTTTTTTTCGAAGGTTAAATAATAGTTTAAGATGACTCTAACTTTGTTTCCATCTTCGTGAGTATATAGAGGCAGCACAGGGGGGGACTTGTTTGGCTGGTAATATAAACATAGAGTAAATGAGACTGAAAGAGAGGAAATCCTATTTATTTCATTTATTATTTAAGAGCTACGTAAAGTTCACGACTATAAGTGACACTCTTATACTAGCTAATACTCGGGCCGCCGCACACACACAGGGAGTAACTTCACTGGCCAATCTCTGAACACCTCTCAAAGTTCTTGTCCACAATTGGTTACACAAAGAGTAGGCGTCGATAAGGCCGCATAATGCCACCCATAGTGCCAGCCGCTGGACCATACTGTATAGTTTCTCCTGCCAGCGGGGAACACAGAGGCAGTCCGTCACACTATTATCTTTCCTTTAACATCAAAGACGGTGGATGAAAGGTAGACTGTGACCATTAGGTGTGGTGGCTGGCGGGGCACTGTAGGAGTGTAGCTTATATATATAGTGTCTTAGCTACCTTATTGTTAGGCGTCACTTATAGTTGGGATAGTGGAACCAGTCCAGTATAGAACTAACCATAGTGCATCCTTGTGTACCGAAGTAAAAGGTTACTGTCCACACTGCCCCTACACGACTCTCACACCAACAGGCCGAATTAAACCCAAAAATACAAAGTTTTCCTACATAACCTAAAAAAACCAGAAAATACAAAACTTGATAACCTTCTAATGAAAACCAATATTTATAATTTATAAAATCATTATCATTGGCTATTTCATTATACCTGTTTTGTAAATATTATCTTTCGGTGATCGTTATTGATAATTCATGACGTCATTGGCCTTTTATCTGAACATATTTTAATTCATGACGTCATTGGCCTTTTATCTGAACATGTTTTAACCTGTTTGTTTTATTCCTCACAGCCCGTACTGACCATAATAGACGATCATTCAATAGTAAGCAATATTCTTTTATATCAATGTTTCAGGTTATTATCATCTTTATCATGTTTTCCTCTTCTCTCTTCCAGTATTGCCATGTTCTATTTTGTATATACTTATGTAGTTTTAGTTTCATATATGTATAGTTCCAGATTAAAATTTTCTGAACATTTTCGTCATTATCTGCCATTTAACAGGTATTTAATCTGATTTTTTTTGGTATTATATGACATTTTTATACCTATTTTTATATCCTGTTATTCTGATATAATTTTGATGAACAAGAACTCTATCTAGAACATATAATAACACATAATAGCGTTCACCAGTTATTAACAGTTACATATATGACCCATAGTGGCGTTCACCAGTTATTAACAGTTACATATATGACCCATAGTGGCGTTCACCAGTTATTAACAGTTACATATATGACCCATAGTGGCGTTCACCAGTTATTAACAGCTACATATATGACCCATAGTGGCGTTCACCAGTTATTAACAGTTACATATATGACCCATAGTGGCGTTCACCAGTTAATGCCAGTTACATATATGACCCATAGCGGCGTTCACCAGTTATTAACAGTTACATATATGACCCATAGCGGCGTTCACCAGTTATTAACAGTTACATATATGACCCATAGCTGCGTTCACCAGTTGTCCAGTTGCTTTTTGTTAACTAACTTAAATTTACACAGTTAATTAATTTACGTACGTTTACACTTTTTTTTGTTAAATACGTTTTGTCATTTACAGTAAATATTCAGATGTGATTATGCTAATTCGTGTAGATGTAGTTACTATAGGATACACTCGTATAGTTTATACTGTAGGCAATTGTTAACGTGTTCACTGTTGTATGTTGGTGTATTTTGTTAATTTACTGTTGTTTGGTACACTTTTGTTAATTTATTCTATTGTATGGTACACTTTTGTTAATTTATTCTACTGTATGTAGTGTAAAGTTTTGTTAATAATTTCAGTGTTTGATTTTTTTTTAAGTTACTGTAAGTGTTGAATACGTGTTGTACACTTTTGTTAATCTATTCAGTGTTATATATCGTAGCTATTGTTAATTTATGGATTATTGTGTTATTTTGTTGGGTTATTGCAGAGAGATATTGTTATTGTCGCAATTAAGTGAGTTGTTATTTTACTTTCCACTGATTAGAAAAATTAAGAATAATTATTACTATTATTATTATTATTATTTGTTATATCATTATTATCAACATTATTCTAATTACTTGTCCACATCAAAAAACATTATGTACACCAAAAATTATACATGAGGTCAATTGCACTTTTAGGGCTATTAAATTATGTAATTGTAATAAGTAATACAATCAAGTGACCCTTTCAACAGGTTGTGGTGAACATAACTGAAAAACATATAATAGTTAGATTTATTACATTATTAATTTATTTATTTACATGTCAGCTAATGATGGATATATCCGTCTAGTTACCCTTAGATTATATAAAAAATGACCCATAAAAACTGAAAACAAAAAACAAATGAAAAACAAACATTTATGAAATAACTTTTACGTTTACAAAATATAAAATATTTCTATAATATCAACAAATGATTTCTGAAGTACAGGATATGCAAGTTCCTATATATTGTTTATGGAGTCAGGAAGTCAAAGTTTTGAGTCAATGATTGTTAAAATGGTGTTTATGGAGTCAGGAAGTCAAAGTTTTGAGTCAATGATTGTTAAAATGGTGTTTATGGAGTCAGGAAGTCAAAGTTTTGAGTCAATGATTGTTAAAATGGTGTTTATGGAGTCAGGAAGTCAAAGTTTTGAGTCAATGATATTAAATGGTGTTTATGGAGTCAGGAAGTCAAGTTTTGAGTCAATGATTATTAAAATGGTGTTTATAGGTCAGGGAAGTCAAAATTTTGGTCAATGATTGTTAAAATGGGTATTTTATGGAGTCAGGAAGTCAAAGTTTTGAGTCAATGATTGTTAAAAATAGTATTTCGTTCTCTACAGCTCAGCCGATCGCTCACAGACAATCTTACAGTAAGCAAGATATTAATTTTTTAACTGTGTCGTGTGTTCCAATAGACATCTTGTTGAAATATCTATGTTAATTCTTTCTCTATTCAACCCTTTAAGTACGATTTATTCCCTTTTTAGTATGATGTCTTAATCCCTTTTAGTACATTAACTTAACCCCATTTTAGTTAGATGATTTTATTAATCCACTGAGTATGATGACTTAGCCCTATCAGTACGAGTATTTAACCCTTTAGTACGATGACTTAATCCTTTCAGTACGATGACTTAATCCTTTCAGTACGATGACTTAATCCTTTCAGTACGATGACTTAATCCTTTCAGTACGATGACTTAACCCTTTCAGTACGATGACTTAATCCTTTCAGTACGATGACTTAATCCTTTCAATACGATGACTTAAACCTCTCAGTACGATGACTTAATCCTTTCAGTACGATGACTTAATCCTTTCAGTACGATGACTTAATCCTTTCAGTACGATGACTTAATCCTTTCAGTACGATGACTTAATCCTTTCAGTACGATGACTTAATCCTTTCAGTACGATGACTTAATCCTTTCAATACGATGACTTAAACCTTTCAGTACGATGACTTAATCCTTTCAGTACGATGACTTAACCCCTTTAATACGATGACTTAGCCTCTTTAATACGATGACTTAACCCATTAATCACGATGAGTTAACCTCTTCAGTATAATGAGTCAACCCTTTCATTAAGAATGACTTAACCCTTTTAGTTCGTTGACTTAACCCCTTCAGTATGATAACTTAAAACCTTCAGTATGATAACTTAAAACCTTGAGTATGATAACTTAACCTTTAGTATGATAACTTAACCTTTAGTATGATAACATAACCTTTAGTATGATAACTTAACCTTTAGTATGATAACTTAACCTTTAGTATGATAACTTAACCTTTAGTATGATAACATAACCTTTAGTATGATAACTTAACCTTTAGTATGATAACTTAACCTTTAGTATGATAACTTAACCTTCAGTATGATAACTTAACCTTCAGTATGATAACTTAACCTTGAGTATGATAATTTAACCTTGAGTATGATAACTTAACCTTGAGTATGATAACTTAACCTTTAGTATGATAACTTAACCTTTAGTATGATAACTTAACCTTGAGTATGATAACTTAACCTTGAGTATGATAACTTAACCTTTCGTATAATAACTTAACCTTTCGTATGATAACTTAACCTTGAGTATGATAACTTAACCTTGAGTATGATAACTTAACCTTGAGTATGATAACTTAACCTTGAGTATGATAACTTAACCTTAAGTATGATAACTTAACCTTGAGTATGATAACTTAACCTTGAGTATGATAACTTAACCTTAAGTATGATAACTTAACCTTAAGTATGATAACTTAACCTTTAGTATGATAACTTAACCTTAAGTATGATAACTTAACCTTGAGTATGATAACTTAACCTTCAGTATGATAACTTAACCTTGAGTACCAAGATTTAACCCATAAAATAGAAAGATGACTTAAACCTTTGATTACGATGACATACGAGTAAGGGGTTAAGTCATCGTCCTCAAAAGGTTAAAACAAAGTGCCTAATAAAACCGTAGTATGATGTAACTGATGTGTACTATTACTAAACCAGTTTTATATGTTTACTTATAAAACAACCATGTTAAACCTATTGTTATGAATCACTAAACCAGATTAATATAAATATGATGATATTTTACTTATAAAACTACCATATTAAACCCTATGTCTGTACTGTATATAAACTAGTTTTAAGTGTGTTGCTTCACTGAAAAAGGAAGTATTATGGTGGTGTGTTTACTGAAACTTTATATTATTAACATGTTAACTACCTGACTTGTTAATATTACCAAATGTAAAAACAAATAAATCGATGTTTCATGTTTTTCCTAATGTTTACTGTTTCTATAGAAGTATTAAGCATGTTCACTGATTTCTTTACTGAGAAGGAAAATTTTATTATATTTCAAGTGTGTTTTACAGATGTTTACCCGGAATTAAACATGTATTTTCCTGTTGTATATTTTGATATATTTTTTGATGTATTATGACGTATATATTAATGTGTTGAGATATTGTATGTTGACGTATACTGTATTTATATTTACATTTTGACGCTATTTTGAAATTTTGACGTTTATTTTGCCGTTTATTTTATATTTATTTTACCGTTTATTTTGATATTTATTTTGCCGTTTGTTTTGATATTTATTTTGCCGTTTTTGCCGTTTATTTTGATATTTATTTTACCGTTTATTTTGCCGTTGAGTAATATCACCTAATTAAATGTTAACCCGGATGATTTTGAAATATGTATCCAGTTACTTTAGACTTGGGTAATATTATTTATTTTCTGTCTGACATATTACTATAATACAAGGGAAATATTAGTATTTTTTCCTGTATCTGACATATTGATCGTAAGACAAGGATGATTTTACAGCATTTTCCTCGTAGCTGACATATTGATCTTTAGACAAGGATGATTTTACAGCATTTTCCTCGTATCTGACATATTGATCTTTAGACAAGGATGATTTTACAGCATTTTCCTCGTAGCTGACATATTGATCTTTAGACAAGGATGATTTTACAGCATTTTCCTCGTATCTGACATATTGATCTTTAGACAAGGATGATTTTACAGCATTTTCCTCGTAGCTGACATATTGATCTTTAGACAAGGATGATTTTACAGCATTTTCCTCGTATCTAATATAAGCACTGTGTCTTTCTTACTTCGCCACGATTCGGTGAAGTGACCTCATTGTTGTGTTGATAACTGGACGATTGATTTAGATTTTGTAATAACTGCTATAATAATATGCTGTAGGGTTAAGGGTGGGTCTGTCTGTCTGTCTGTCTGTCTGTCTGTCTCTAGCCAGTTAGGTTAGGCTTCTTCTAATTTCAGTTAGGTTACGGGTAGGTAGATTAATTTAGTTGAGGTGGATTAGTTTAGGTTAGGTTAGGTTAGGTTAGGTTAGGTTAGGTTAGGTTAGGTTAGGTTAGGTTAGGTTAGGTTAGTTGAGGTTAGGATAGGTTGAGGTGGATTAGTTTAGGTTACGTTAGGTTAGGTTAGGTTAGGCTAGGTTAGGTTAGGTTAGGTTAGGTTAGGTTAGGATAAGATAGGTTAGTTAAGACCTTAGTGGGTGAATTCTAAGTCCGGATACTGAGTTTGGGTCCGGGTAACATCAAGTAACCGAACCCACGACTGATGTTACTAGCTGAACCCACCACTGTTGTTACTAGCTGAACCCACGACTGATGTTACTCGCCGAACCCACGACTGATGTTACTAACCGAACCCACGACTGATGTTACTCGCCGAACCCACGACTGATGTTACTCGCCGAACCCACGACTGATGTTACTAACCGAACCCGACTGATGTTACTCGCCGAACCCACGACTGATGTTACTCGCCGAACCCACGACTGATGTTACTAACCGAACCCACGACTGATGTTACTCGCCGAACCCACGACTGATGTTACTCGCCGAACCCACGACTGATGTTACTCGCCGAACCCACGACTGATGTGTTCACTCTTTGTGCCCACAGAGTCCCACCAGCCCACGGAAGTACCCATCACTACTACTACTGAAGAAGGTCAGGAGGTACTGTGAGTGTTCTCCCCACTTGAACACTTGAACATTTGAACACTTGAACATTTGAACACTTGAACATTTGAACACTTGAACATTTGAACACTTGGACATTTGAACACTTGGACATTTGAACACTTGGACATTTGAACACTTGGACATTTGAACACTTGGACATTTGAACACTTGAACATTTGAACACTTGAAATTTAAACACCTGAACACTTAAACACCTGAACACTTGAACACCTGAACACTTAAACACCTGAACTCTTAAACACCTGAACACTTAAACACCTGAACACTTAAACACCTGAACACTTGAACACCTCTACACAAGTCCCTCAAGATGCACTCACATAACTCAGCAGTGCAGTACTCCCAGCATGGACAGTTCACCACTCTCTTAACACACACATAACTCAGCAGTGCAGTACTCCCAGCATGGACAGTTCACCACTCTCTTAACACTCACATAACTCAGCAGTGCAGTACTCCCAGCATGGACAGTTCACCACTCTCTTAACACTCACATAACTCAGCAGTGCAGTACTCCCAGCATGGACAGTTCACCACTCTCTTAACACTCACATAACTCAGCAGTGCAGTACTCCCAGCATGGACAGTTCACCACTCTCTTAACACTCACATAACTCAGCAGTGCAGTACTCCCAGCATGGACAGTTCACCACTCTCTTAACACTCACATAACTCAGCAGTGCAGTACTCCCAGCATGGACAGTTCACCACTCTCTTAACACACACATAACTCAGCAGTGCAGTACTCCCAGCATGGACAGTTCACCACTCTCTTAACACACACATAACTCAGCAGTGCAGTACTCCCAGCATGGACAGTTCACCACTCTCTTAACACTCACATAACTCAGCAGTGCAGTACTCCCAGCATGGACAGTTCACCACTCACTTAACACTCACATAACTCAGCAGTGCAGTACTCCCAGCATGGACAGTTCACCACTCTCTTAACACTCACATAACTCAGCAGTGCAGTACTCCCAGCATGGACAGTTCACCACTCTCTTAACACTCACATAACTCAGCAGTGCAGTACTCCCAGCATGGACAGTTCACCACTCTCTTACTTAACACTCACATAACGGTTTAATATCTTCCTATTTATCAAATTATCAAGTAATTCTGTGTCTTTATCTATTATCTTGCTCTTGAATTCATCCTAATTATATTTCCTCTCTATTATCATTACTACATGTTACCTTAATCGGAGTTAATTGTTTTATTTAACTGTAGTTATCAAAGATTTGGTTCAGGGATAATTTTTTTTTTTTAGTTCCTAAAATATTGTTCTTATCTGTTTTGTTTAAAAGGAATAATTGGTGAAAATTATTATTATTGTGTTAATGGTGACTGAATTAATTATGTATTTAGATGATATTAGTAGTAGTAATATTACGATATTATTATTATTATTGTTATTTCTTGTTGTTGTACTAATAGTAATAGCAATTGTAACACAATTATTATTATTATAATTAACATTAGTAGTAGCAGTAGTAATAATAGTAGTAGTTGTAATAATAGTAGTAGCAGTAGTAGTAGTAGTAGTAGTAGTAGTAGTAGTAAAAAAAAAAGTAGTAGTATACAGATAGGATAGCTACTTATGTATTAGGATATTTAATATTAAGGTAATTAAATGGTGACGAAGGTGTGGCTATTGGGGGAGGCTGGAGGCCATATAATAAAAAAAATAAAAACATAAAATAGTAGTAGTAGTAGTAGTAGTAGTAGTAGTAGTAGTAGTAGTAGTAGTAGTAGTAGTAGTAGTAGTTGTAGTAGTAGTAGTTGTAGTAGTAGTAGTTTTATACTAATATTACTATAACTCTTTTCTTACATACATACACATTCATCAAAACCGCTAACTTCAGCTCGTATGTGCGTGTGTGTGTGCGTAATCGTGTGTGTGTGTATGTGTATTCGCGTGTATATATGTGTATGCATGTGTGTGTATGTGTGTGTGTCCCAGGCAGGCGGTATGGGAGTGCTGACGCCTAAGTGGGTGGTAAGACTGTCAGCTAGCCTGGCCATCCTCGGCGGCGCCTTCCTCTTCTCCAGCGTCAGCGTCCTAACTAACAGCTTCGGCCAGTCAACCCGCGGCGGTGACGGGCCTGACAAGACTACCGGCATTATCTTCATGACCATTGGCGGTAAGATCACTAATACCCCGTACTAATACCTTGTAACCTAACCTAGTATAAAGTTAACCTAACCTAACCTAACCTAACCTAGTATAAAGTTAACCTAACCTAGTATAAAGTTAACCTAACCTAGTATAAAGTTAACCTAACCTAGTATAAAGTTAACCAAACCTAGTATAAAGTTAACCTAACCTAGTATAAAGTTAACCTAACCTAGTTTAAAGTTAACCTAACCTAATTTAAACCTATTTTTTTTAATCTGAACTAACCTAACCCAGTTTAAACCTATCCTTACCTAGCCCAGTTTAAATGTATCCGAACCCAGTTTAAACCAAATCCAGAATAACCTAGTTTAACCTTGATTTAACCTAACCTAGTTTAAACTTGACCTAACCTAAACAAGTTTAATCCTAACCTAAGCTAACCTAACTTAAATTACTATTAATCCAAACTAGCCTAATTAAACTTACCCCCAAAACCAATTTAACGTAACGTAACTTAACCTAACCTTATCTTATTTTAGCCTAATAAATACAATACTTAACCTAACCTAACCTAACCTAACCTAACCTAACTTAACCTAACCTTATCTTATTTTAGCCTAATAAATACAATACTTAACCTAACCTAACCTAACCTAACCTAACCTAACTTAACCTAACCTTATCTTATTTTAGCCTAATAAATACAATACTTAACCTAACCTAACCTAACCTAACCTAACCCTAACAGTAACAAAGTTAGTCTGTGGTGTTAGTGTTAGTGTGTTTTGTTTGCCTTTCATTGTTCTCCTTATCTGTCTTCGTCTAGTCATGAGGTTAAGTCTTGGTCTGCTTCATGATGCTCTTAGACTGATTCACTCACTGACTCACATACTGAGAGATCTTTAAGCCCGTCTAATACTGACCAAGTCCATGGTGACGCAGCTCTTGTATGATTCATTTATTTTATACTCCTCTATGCGCGACGGTCGAGTGGATGCAGCGCTCGCCTCTTGTTCCAGGGGCCGGTGGTTCGTTCCCTGGGCACTCCCAATTGATCCAGCTGTAAATGGGTCCCCGAGTTTAAAACTTGGTGAAGTGTACTGATGGCTTAGTATACAGTGTGCTGTATCCACACTGTCACTAACGGGCAGTCATGCCTATGGGACCTCTTTCATTTCCATGGTATTTCAGATGTTAAGTAATAATGTCTGCTATATCATCCTGTTTGCATTCCTTTCATCCCTCGGCCACTTTGGAGAAGTTTGTAGTCACTGAGTATTGTCCACATCCAGGGCATGTGTGTGTGTCAACCTTAACACTGTGAATTGTACAGTTATGAACAGGTCGGTCTGATCAACAGTGGACTCCATCTATCACTTAAATATGACCACTTTCTATCACCGTTCTCCTGCAGGTGTGTCCTTGGTGGTGTCGCTCGGTCTGGGCTACTTCGGCTGCAGGAAGCGGAAGAAGAAGGACGACGACAACGGGAGCGACAGCGGGCGGCCCCTCAACTTCGCTCCAGCGCTCTCCACGACTGCCGACATGTTCCCGTGGCCTTCTACTCCCTCCCATCAACAACCCTCCGGCTCCCCCTACAGCACCCCAGCTGCAGGTCAACCACCGTCCTTCCCCAGTCCATTTGGCGGGGAATCGTCCCGCTCTTCAAATCCGTCAGGAGAACCCCAGGTGCCCCACTGCTCTCAGGGGCGAGGAGGACACACCCAAAAGGCGTCTCCTCAAGGACCCCAGAAGCAGACTGAGTTACCGGTGGTGTCCTTGCCACGACCAGCGTCCCCAGACCCCGGTCCCTCCCACGCATCCTAGAGTCCTCCTGGGGTGTAGAAGGTGCTATACTCTAGCGTCCATACTGGCCTTCTCAATGGCTCTTATCTGTGAGAACATTTTCCTACGCGGGTTTTGTATTTGCATGAAATATTTCTATTCTTCTATATCTTAGGCACCATTGTTGATGATCTTTGTTGAGCTGATGATGATATCTTCTCAAATCATCCATAACACACACACACACACACACACACACACACACACACATATATATATATATATATATATATATATATATATATATATATATATATATATATATATATATATATATATATAAACCTGTGAAACCATACAGGAATTATGCAAAGTTAGCATTGCGTAGAAGTTTGCTCATGCTGGTTCATATATCGTGGCTAAGTACTAGACAGCGACGCTAGATAGAGAAACAAACAGGTTTTCGTGGCCTAGTGCTTGAGTCGTGAAGCTTCGCAACAACACTAAATTTTATATCTGAAACATTCCAGTTTTTATACAGAAAGAGATTCTGAATATTCGTCCAAGTACTTAGACCTATTTTGAAGAAAGTAAAACAGCCTATTTTATCGTTACCGTCGAGATAATTGTATCACTTAAAAAATAGACAAAATATCACGGACACATGAATGAGGAAATATTTCTGTATCGAGATTATATATTTTATGAACCAAAACTAATTTTACATAAGTACAACATAAATCTAAAGATAAGAATCGCATGTTTTTAGTGGCATCAGTTGGAGACGCGTTATAATAAGTGGAGCCTGGAATGTTTGATATACACACGTGACTTATGCATGGCTACTAAACTCCATCATGCCTTTTGTAGGGAAGCTTTGACCAGCAGTCTCTTGTGCTTCATAGATACTATATACTGACCATCACTAGAAATAATCATCCGTTTTTGGCATTAAGTATAAAATATAATATAACATATACGATAAAACGTTGGTTGTCGATTTGAAAGTTTACGGCAGAATATAAACTATGTATATTTTTTAAGACGATACGCTTAATGTGCAATAATGATGACTTTTAACTAGCAACAGTGGGCAATAGTGACACACGCTTACATGATGATAGAGATGAAGTGCCCAGGGAAGGGACCAACCCACGGCAGTAGTAGAAGAAGACGAGAGGATTTGTAAAAAAAAACTAAACCAGAACAACTTACTAACCCAAAACTTTACTCATGAAAAAGTTGCAAAATGTGAGACGAATTATTAACACTATTTGGTTTATGTGTTTTTCGATGTTTGGTATTTGTGTGCGTCTCTCCTTCAGTTACGTATATACAAGAATTTTTGGGAGTTTACTTTGTGATGTTTTATTATGGAGCAAACTGGTTTTAGGTTTTATGCTTGTGCAGTCAATAAAACAAAAACATTGTCTGCTTGTTGTGGGGTGTGTTGGCTGGCCGATGGTTTAGTTAGACTGTGAATTAAGTGGTCCGGGGAAGACTCCTTTACGGATACCATTCAACAATTATGTCAGAAAATGTGAAAAAAAAAAGAATCATAATTGTGATGACTGTACTTGACATATATCTGGCCAGTAAACAAAACACTTAGAACTCTGTATTGAAACTACCTAAAATTCAAAACTATATTGGAATCTTGATTTATCAAAGAAGAAAACGAAAGATCTGGAAACGTGAAAAAAAACAAGTGATATATTAAGATTATTTCTAAGTCTTACGTTAAAATGGAAATTATTTAGAAACCTTAGAAATAGTGACCATTTATGACGTTGGCGGGGAGTTGGAGGGATTCGAAAAAGATATCAGAAAATTCTTAAGTGTAGATCCTGGAAAACCAACCAATATTGACCACAGGACGATGAGTACAAACTGATAAACTGTTTTGTTCTGTCTCAAGAAGTGAGTCTTTGACCCTAAAAGAGTGGATAATAAGTGATTGTTAAATGACTTAGACCCCCAATAATGGCTTCAACAAAAGAAGAACTTGTCAGGATGATGTTTTTCCTGGTCTAATTTCGGGTTTTACAATATGTTATGGAAATAGTCCAATGGAGACTTAAGACGATGTGCGAGTATATACTGTATATATATAGCACACAGTTTCCCATAGTTTTTCGTCGTTTTCTACATGGAAAGCCACACATAGTGCCACACACACAGTGCCACACACACACAGTGCCACATGGAGTAACCACATAGTGTGTTACTTGGTCATTAGTAGAGATAGACGTTTATCGTTGACACTGAAGTTTACTGACAGTTTAAATTACACTGTTAAGTTCAGTTCACAGTTCAGTAAAGGACAGCATATTATCTCTCCAGTAAGCTGAATTAAGCTTACTAAAGGCCTTCTTACTCTTCCTCCTGACTGAGAATTCTTAACGTTGATTCATCCTTCAGTGAACCTGTTATATCACAATATTTTTCTATAAATTTTACTTAGTATAGACGAAATAATATAGAGTTAAATACAGTATCTATAATAAACTACTAAATGACGTTTTACTATATGATTGGCTCTACTTTCATACTGTTTTTGTACGCACATGTAAACAAACTTAGAGCTTTACTACCTAGTTAAATGAGGTTTTATTCCGAAATTGGCTCTACGTCACCTTACATGTGGCGACTAAAGTAAACATTGCGTAGAGGTTAATATCAAGATAACTATGATAACAATGATAATGTTTCTTGATGATTATTTTGTGTCATGGTACAGCTATTAAGGTGATTTAAACTACCACACTTGTTTGTTCGTCAATGGACACTGAACTGTCTTGACGTGTGCTATGAGGAAAATCTTTGTCATGTACTCTTGTGTGAGGTGTGTGTACATATATGATAATACTCTCTGGAACACGAGTGCATTATTTACTTATTGGTAAAAAAAAAAGACATTTGTTATCTCAAGTTTAATCTACATGTATGTCGTCTTATAAACAGACAAACCAAAAAATATATAAATATATATATATACATATATCGTTAAGCGTATTTGTGTTTCTGATATCAATATACATTATACATATTCTTAAGCCTGAGATTCTTAAAGGTTCGTAGGGTGAATATCCCTCGTAAACTGATGACTTACGAGCATATCTATCCTTTTGTCTTAAGCTAAAACATAAAAAAAAAATATTGTGTAAAAATGACAACAAAATTATATCAAGACTGTTCCTTAACGAGATACCTTCACTTAGCACTAAGACTGTTCCTTAACGAGATGCCTTCACTTAGCACTAAGACTGTTCCTTAACGAGATACCTTCACTTAGCACTAAGACTGTTCCTTAACGAGATACCTTCACTTAGCACTAAGACTGTTCCTTAACGAGATACCTTCACTTAGCACTAAGACTGTTCCTTAACGAGATACCTTCACTTAACACTAAGACTGTTCCTTAACGAGATGCCTTCACTTAACACTAAGACTGTTCCTTAACGAGATACCTTCACTTAACACTAAGACTGTTCCTCAACGAGATACCTTCACTTAGCACTAAGACTGTTCCTCAACGAGATACCTTCACTTAGCACTAAGACTGTTCCTTAACGAGATACCTTCACTAAGCACTAAGACTGTTCCTTAACGAGATACCTTCACTTAGCACTAAGACTGTTCCTTAACGAGATACCTTCACTTAACACTAAGACTGTTCCTTAACGAGATACCTTCACTTAACACTAAGACTGTTCCTCAACGAGATACCTTCACTAATTAAGGTTCACAATCTTTCAACAACATAATTCTTGATTATTTTTGTGTAGTGAAAGAAGAAAAAAGTCTCAGTGTACTTTTGATGTTATTTTTTAGTCTTTGTGTGATATCTTAAGACAATGACTCGTATGTACTCTGACACCTTCACTTACTATAGTTACTCACCGTGTACGACCCTTTGAGAATCGGGATCCGGTAACAATATTTCTGCGATTTAGAAATAAGATTTTTTTTTTATCGTAAAGTTAGGAATATTTTCTATTTACCGATATGATATTTTGAATTTGAGATTCTGTTGTATATAATTAATAAAATCAATTTGAGTATTTGCTACTTGATATCTTGTCCGGTTTAGCTGAATTTATGTAATGAAATTCAAGAGATTGTTTCTTGAATTCATTTTTTTTAAGATTAACTTAATATCCTAAGGATATAAGACGTAAGGTGGAACACAGGAGCACGTGTGTGAGTCAGGATACTGGATCACCCGGCCATCACCTCTGCCTTTTAACACTCGCCTTGCTTTCTCGACTCCCCCCACGCTCTCTCTCTCTCTCTCTCTCTCTCTCTCTCTCTCTCTCTCTCTCTCTCTCTCTCTCATCTTTACAATCATGAATCGAAACTGACTCATTCACTGACACCGAGTCTGAACTGAACTGACCTGACCTGACCTGACCTGACCTTAATTTAAAAAAGTGGAGTAAATGGATGAGTGAGAATTCTCTTTTCGATCAATATTCACAAAAACCTAAAACTATATACCAAAAAATTTTATATATGCATTATAACATAAGCTGGTTCTACCAAACTACTGTTCTACCATAATACTGTTCTACCATAATACTGTTCTACCATACTGTTCTACCAAACTACTGTTCTACCATAATACTGTTCTACCATAATACTGTTCTACCATAATACTGTTCTACCATACTGTTCTACCATACTGTTCTACCATATTGTTCTACCATAATACTGTTTCACCATACTACTGTTCTACCATACTACTGTTCTACTACACAACTGTTCTACCATACTGTTCTACCATACTGTTCTACCATACTGTTCTACCATACTGTTCTACCATACTAATGTTCTACCATACTCATCTACCATACAACTATTCTACCATACCCATCTACCATACCACTGTTCTACCATACTCATCTACCATACTACTGTTCTACCATACTACTACCATACCCATCTACCATACCACTGTCACAACACACATACACTCTCACAAACATAATAAACAATATAACCCGCACACACGAGGCATAATATTTTAATTGTTACATCGATGGAAAGACTAATTTATTCCTGTTGAGAAAATATAATTAAATGCTTTCTATAGTGTCTACAGATTTGTCCCGTGTTTGTTTTGACAGGAAAGAGTAGTTATGGATATAGTTGTTTATAAGGGTGAGTATGTGTTTTAAATGGTATATGAATGTTTTATTTATAGAAGAGAAGACTACAGTATAAGGATGGGTATATGAGATTGATTTTTTTTTTTTTTAGGA